CATAATAATAACCTCTTGGTACATATTGAGTATCCCTAATATGGGAATCCAAAATCTAAAATGCTCCAAATCTGAAACTGTAATGTCACAAGTTGAAAATTCCATATCATGAATTTGTTTCATGCACAAAATTATCAAAAGTATTGCATTAGTTGGTTATATAGCTCAGTGGTAGAGCACTTGCCTAGCATGTTTGAGTTCTTGGGATCAATCCCCAGTACTGCCTCCCCCCCCCCAAAGTATAAAATTGCCTTTATGCTGTGTATAAGGTATACACGAAACATAAGTGAATTTTGCACTTAGAATTGGGTCTCATCCTAAGATATCTCAATATGTATATGCAAATATTTAAAAATCCTAAATCTGGAACATTTTTGGTAACAAGCATTGAAATTAATCTCTTATATGAATAAAAATGATGCTCCATAAATCATCTAATTCTGGCTCATACTCAGATTTCTCCAGAATGTTTTCAGAAACATCTTTTTACATTTAGTTTGAGGTCTAGACTTTTGATATTATCTCCTAATATCTCCAACACATATAGTTGCAGATATGCCCTGATAGGACTGGATGTTTAAAATAGCACTTTTTTGTTATTATATTTTTTTAGCCCCAAACACAAAGTCTAACAGAAAAGTGAAAAAGAGCCACATGAATTCCAAGTTGGAGGGACCAGTTAGCAACCCTGTTCCCAATTTTAAGGACAGCTGTACATTCAGTGTTTTCTCAAACTCTGCTGTCATCACTCAGTGGAGACTGTAGACTTAGAATAAAGGCTTGTTAGCTCACTGATATGTGGCAAATTATTTAATTTCTCCAAGGTCAGGACATTTTAGCATCAAAAGGTAGAACTTTCTTGCCTCTAAAAAGATTCCCAGCGAACCATTTCTGTAGCCTCTTTCCATCTATGCTATGAGCTGCTGGGTGTCCACACATGGAAACAGCCCTGGCTGGAGGCAGCCATTAACCTTCCCGTGAGTGCTCCAGCAGCTGAGGGCCAGGCAGACCCACAGTCCTATTTTTCCCTAAACCTGCTCATGCCAGTTCAACTTTTCATATGACCACATAATTTAATCAAACTGTAAATTGGTGAAATGTGAATGCCAAAGGAAATGGAATTGTTTCTACCTTCTCTAAATTGTTGAATGCAATATAAAGACTTGAAGCATGTGAAATGATTTAAAAAACCTGTCTTACGAATTAGGAGATGACTATAAAGGCCTGGGAAAAATGAGAAAAACCTGGTGAAAGTTTCCATTCAGATTCATGCATATGGGAGTTAAGCTCTCTCTCCATCTTGAAGAATGGAAACCAGAAATCATGGCCAATGCAAAGAGGTAGAGTTTCTGAAAGACACACCATGTGGATGCCAATTAGCGGATCTATCTTTAAATGAAAGACTTGGTTCAACATCAAGGGCAGGGGGAAAAACATTCAGATGTATGTAATTAAAATTAATATGTAAGGTATGTATGTACCATCTTTTAGGATTCTATATTTCAACTTTCCTCTGCTAATTAACCTCCTGCATACAGGTACAGATAGTGTGAGTTATGAGTCATTAACTTGGATTATCATGAGGAAGAACTGAGGTAGATGGGTTTTCTGGTCAGGAATTGGATAACTATAAATTCTCATCTCTCTTCTTTCATTTTCTGAGAAACCGCAACTTCCTAAGATAGCTGTTTGTATTTCTCAACAGCTCTAGATGGTTAGCCCTTTTAAAGGCAGTTTGTAATTTCAGTTGGGCCTGTATTTGTCTTTGGTTATACACAGAACTAAGGGCAGCTCTACACACAGGAAGACAGTCATCATATCCTTTGTGAGTTCCTCTCTTTTGATAACAACTGTTTTTTTTTTCGGGGGGGGGTATATTTTCAGGATTCCTTACTTACTTCTTTATCCACTTTTCTCTGGGATTGCACCATTTGACCTCTGTGAGACCCCAGATGATTGTGACATTCTATTAACGGCACTGGCGAACCATCCTCACTTTGCCTCTATTCTGGACACTCCATTCCGCTGAGCTGAGACAAATGTTGCTAACTCAGGCTGCTTCCAACCTCAGCTTTCCAGGCCTTTCCTCAGGGCTGCTGTTGAGCCAGGCATCTTCCATCCTGAAATTCTACATTTGACTTTATTTCAGCCTTTATGTGGGAGGGAATTCATGTGCATTGCATTTCATCTTGGTTTGAGTCCAGTTTTCTAGCTTTGTGTTCCTTCTGTTTGCTATCTGAATTGAGTCATCCAGCATATTCACAATTTCTCCCAGTTAGATGTTGTTGACTGATTTGGTAAGCAGACTTTTGTAGTCTTTCCTCAAGCTGTCGGTGTATATGACTAGGCATCACTTAATGATGGGGCACATTCTGAGAAATGTATCAATAAGCAATTTCACTGTCCGAACATCATAGAGTATATTTACACAAGTCCAGATGGCTACAATATCACTAGATGATATAATTTTGGATCACTGTCACATATGTGGTCTGTTGTTATGGGGCATGACTGCACATTAGGCAGCAAGTGGATTGGGTCATAACTGAGTGACACATTATGAAGTTTTACTCCTTGCCCCAATTCATTTAAAATTTAATTAAACATATTTTAAATGTTGGCAATACTGTAGTGGGCAAACCAAAAATTCTACCCTTATGAAGCTTATTTCTTATTGGACATCATTTTGTCTAAAAGATCATGCCTCACATCCCATTTGCCTTTGTGCTGATTTGATTCACCTCACATTTCTTCCCCAAGGACAGCCAATTGAGCACTGACCATGTATTGAGCCTGTACTAGGGGTGAATTGACCCAGAACTCTGGCTCAGGTCTTCACCCACAAGATTGGCAAAAAAAAAAAACTCATTATCATACTTTTGGAGTCAGTTCCTTCTCCTTTAAAGATTATCCATGAACATCTTGAAACATTTGCAGTCTAAAAGGAAATTTCTTGAAACTTCCATTTTCAAGCAGGGACCATCCCCCCACCCCTCCCGCCCAATCTTAGTGTTGGCCTGTGACTCTGCAGTGTTGTACCTTGCCACTTGGGGGCGTCGCTGAGCAGAGTCTCTACCAATTAAATCCCATGGTCTATGCCCTGTAGGTCATAGAGGGGCCCTTTAAAGGAAGGGGATTCTTCTCCCTTTGTGCCTCAGTCAGTTCAGGGTGCTTCTGGGCAGGTTCTCTGGAGAAGCTCCTAGTTCTGGCATTGTCCTCTGGGGCTGATCACCAAGTGTGGCTTGGGGAACCTTCTCTTCTCTTTAGTTCTGGAATACTTTGGGCAGGTGTGTAGAGAGATTGAGGAGACCAGGGTTGAGGTATTCTTCCTTCGCATTCTTTAAAATCTAAAGATTTATTGCACTCCATTCTTGAGGTAATGTTAAATGATTAAAGTCTTCCCAATTCTTTTTTTTTTTTTTTGTCTAAAGTAATAATCTGATTACTTCCTAAGGAGGGTGTTGGGTGATGAGGTGTCACATTTTGGGGTGCTGCTGACCACTGACTGCTTCCCATCCAAGTAGTATGGGTGGGTGGTTAGTACAATGAGGATGGCAGAGATAGTGGTGAGGAAGACATTCCAAACCATAATGTATGAGTTGTCATTTCTTAGGGTTCACTAAGGAACTTCTGTGCATCTTAAATTATCAGTGGGGAAAAAAAAGATGTATTCTACACATTACCTTGAAACACATTATTTCATTTGATTCCCAGGATAGCCTTACAGGGGAGCATCATTTTAGCCATTTCACAGTTGAGGAAACAGGCTTAGAAGTGATAGGACCTCATTGTAAGTGAATTTGAAACTAGGAAATCTGGGCTGTGAAGCCAGACTGAGGCTACCACTCAGCACTTCTCTATCTTGTTCCCAGGCTCTCATCAGTCTTGACCAGGATCTCCCCACACTGTTGTTCAAAGAGGATTGCTGGAGAGCTTGGGGGATCATCAGGTTTCTCATGAGCTGAGAGCTTTTGAAATGACTTGCGCTTCCCATTGAACTGCTGATTTTATCCTTGAAGTAGCACATCTCATTAATCCAGTTCCATAAGGGGAGTAGAAGCCTGGTAATGTGTTAGAGCTACAAGAGACATCACGGTTTACAGAGTTGCAGACTGAGGTTCAGGGAACTCATAAGACAGATGGTCAGTGAAAGAACTGATGGAGTAACCTGCTCTTCTCATTCCCTGTTCAGATCTCATTTCAAATTTGTTGATGACTTTTTCTTAGAGCTCTGTGCCACTCTTAGAATAATGAAAATTATTGAAGTGTTAAAATATACAGGACTCCTGGTTCTTGCTAAAATAGTGTAACAGGTTTATTTTCATGCTATCAACAGAGATAAAACCAGGCAAAATATTTGAGCAACTCTTTTTAGGCATCGGACAGTCGGACAGTGAACATCACTGGCTGTGAGTCTTCTTTTGTTTCTTTCTTTCTTTTTTTTTTTTTTTCATTACTGGGGACTGAGCCCAGGGGGCCTGTTGCATGCTAGGCAAGTGCTCTACCACCGAGCTACATTACCAGATCTCCCCTTTTTGAATTTTTGGATTTATTTTTTATTAATTTTAAATGTGTCATATTTTAAACACATTTTATTTACCAACATAGGCAACTCACACGGGGTGAGTTTCCTTTCATACTGTCTATTTGCCCAAGGCATTTTCCAAACTGTAGGGAAGTGGAACTCAAGCAAAAGTGGCAGTCTTGCTGAGTAGAGGAAATGAAGACAGAAGTTAACGGATGCTGAAGCTGCTGGGACTTGCAGGTTTGAGTATCAGAGAGAAGGCAATTGAAGATAAATAATACCAGAAATCTGTTTAGGAATTTACTCTGGGTCCTTGGCAAATCTTTAGTTGAAGACACACTGAGTGAGACTCTGCAAATTCTAGCTGAGAGCATTTTGTAGGGGCCTAAGAGATGAACAGTGGTTTAGAAGTTGCATCTTTTACTTCTTTTGCGGTACTACCACTGAACCCTTTTTATTTTTTTATTTATTAAGTTGCTGAAGCTGGCCTTGACCTTGTGATCTTCCTGCCTCCAACTACCAAATTGCTGGGATTACAGGTGTGTGCCACTTTGCCCAACTTAAAAATTACATCTGTTAGAGATATCTTGGAGTTCTAATCTAGCCAAAGGAGAGCCATACATTATTTGAGACCCCAGGAAGTCTAGCCTCAGGAGGAGGGACTGTATCCTAGGGATTAGGGACATGCTGTAGTAAAGAGAGCAAAGCTGAATAGATCTGCCTAAAGTCAAAACCCAAGACTCAATAGAATCAAGATGATGCATTAGTAATTGCTTATCAGAACAAAATGCTGCATTTTTTTTTAGAGGAAGACAACTCCAAAATCTCTGTAACATATCACTTCCCCAAAGCCTCCTCTTTTAATACTATCCCTGGGCATTAGGTTCCAATATATGAGTTTTAAAGAGGCATGTATATTTATATCAAAGTAGCACATGTTCAGACATGTGAAGAATCAAATTAAGTATGCAGACCTTCCTTATAATTTGAAACCCTGAAGACTCTCCACATTGATTCTTTTTTTCTTTGGGGCATTTTAGCTTGACTTCAGTGACTAGTGGAACATAGAATGTCTGGGCTTTAGCGGTGGGATTGAATTTCTAATGTAGATTCATAAATTGGTTGTTTTTGAATTATTCTTGATGTCTTGGCTGGACTTTCCTGACCCGTGGTGGAAAAATGTGCCTCCATGTAGAAAGATTGGCCTCCCTAACTAGACCTCAGTATTCTGTGGGTCAGCTGAGAGATGCCAGTTTGAAATATGTCTAAGGGTTCCCTCTCTTAAAGATTGTCATGTGATCTGCCCACTGCAAGGGATTTTGTGGTATTGGGATGGGCAGCGGCAATGCAGGCCGTCAATATTATGTGTATTGCAGGGAGTATCCTAGATGCTATGAAACAGCTTGATGACTGATAATAAAATAGGACCAAACTGTCGTATTTGAGCGAAATTTGTAAACTCTTCAGAAGAAATATTTTTTAGCTCTTCAATTTATGACAAGAACTTACACATTTTGCATAGACAACTTCCACCTGTGTTGCATGTTCAGTTAATTTATTTTTTTTTGCCTATTACAACTGATCTTTAAACTTTTTGATTATATAAGAAACTAGATAAGGTATGAAGAAAAATCATTGGCAGCCCTCTGCTTTTAGCTGTAGTTAGTGATCAGTTAGCATTTTTAGTAGAAACAGTCCAAAGGATAGATTTTTTTCCCCTTTCCTTAAAAAATAAAATTGCTTTCTAATCAGAAAGGAAGCAGAAGTAATCTTTTATTCTGATGACTATTGGACTTGGGGAGATTTACTGTTCTTGGAATAAGCACATTTATTTAATGAGGAAATAAAATCAACATTATTAATTATTTTAAGACAGGAAACATCTTGAATCATGAAAATTCTTAATTCCTGGGTCTTAATCTTTCTCCTGTTTTTAATGGCTGATGGCTCCTCCTGTAGAATTATGCTTCTGCGCCCTTGGAATGCTCTGTAGTTAATTAATAATTTATAGCTGGGTGAAGTGATATGCAGAATAGGAGCAGGTGTTCATCCCATGCTTTGGCTGCGAACATGGTCAGGGAGGTTTTCTTGGTAGAAAAGCTGAGCACTGAGGTAGCCCAGAGGCTAGAGGGCAGAGGCTCCAAGTGGAAGTCACACATGGCCAGCATCCTTTTAGTTTCCTAGTTTGCAGTTTGACAAGATGTCTCATGCAAGGATGAGATGGAATTTCCCGTACTCTGACTTTCCTTTGGATTGCACAGACTCCACAACATTTAATAATTTGAATCCTTGAGAAAAAGCATTTTCTTGAGCCCAGGAAAATTAGCATGCAGTTGAGAAATATATTTTAAACACACAAGCCGGACTCATTAGCTTTTCTTTTCTTCTGATTTTTGGGCTACTTCCATTTTTAGTTTCAGTAAATGAGGAATTTTTTAATGAGTTATGTGATATTTGCTGAAGGTTGTAATTTTGGCAGATGCTAAAAAGAAACAAGTTGTTTTTTTTTCTTTTCTCCTGCCTTTCCCTCCCCATCATCTTCTTATTTGGACAGCATTCTCAAATGGTTGGCCAAAACCAGCAACACAACTGGCTTCTTGAGATGGGCACCTGACAAACTGGCAGAGATTTCCAGGACCCCCAGCTTTCTTTGTTTTGAGCTTTCTCCAAAGAAACACAAGCTTTTCAGAAGGCAGAGTATTGTTCTCAGCAGGGGATTTTCTCCATGGGAAACAAAGCTTGAGGTGAGCTAGGAAGTCATTTGTCCTAATTCCTGTCTCTAGCAGACCAATACCTGGACATATAAGGGTGTGCAGGGTGATCTTTTCAACATGTAAAAATGGCTAAATCGCTTTATTAAAATTATAATGCTTGCTAAAAAAAGTTATACAACAAATAAAAAAGAAAAAGTCAAACACAAAAAATAAATACCCCCTTCCCTCAAATTTCACCATCTATGTGCAGGGATCAGCGAACTTTGCTATAAATGTACAGATGGTAAATATTTTAGCCTCTGTAGGCCAGACTGCCTTTGTCACAGCAACTCTGTAGTTGTAGCATGAAAGCAGCCTTGGATAATATGTAAAGAAATAGGTGTGGCTGTGTTATAAGCTCCAGATTTGGCCTGTGGGCTATAGTTTGCCAACCCCAGTGTAAAGTAACCCTTGTTTACAACTGGTGCACATCATTTCCAAATCTTCTCTTCTTCCTCCCCACTTCTTTGCAGATATAGTCATAGAGGGAAAAAAGCGAAATAATTTTATAGAAATGAAAGCACTTTTATAAAAATGAAAGCTATATTTAGAAATATTTGAAATTCAACTTTACTTGAATTTGACAGGAGAAAATGAACTGAGTGGGGACTGCAGGAACTTCCGGGATTCAGGCCCATTTCTTCACCACTAGTGATTATAGTTCCTAAAATATTCCTCAGAAATAAAGGGAAAAGCATGATGAGAAGGTTGGGTAGCTCTTTCCCTTTTTTTAAAAAAAATTTTTAATTTCAGTTTTCAATTTTGGGTGGGGCAATTGATTTCCTACTGTGACAAATGAGGAAATATGCATTTGTCCACTTCTCATTTCTCTGAATCCTGATGACTCATTTGATTGTTTTAAAATTGCAAAGGCTGAATATTTACACTCTCTTCTTTTTACTTTTTCTTCTTCTTCTCTGTCTCCCCTCCCCTCCCCTCTCCTTCTTCTTCTTCTGGGGCACTTTACCACTAAGCTACAACCTCAGCACCCCCTTTTTATTATTTAATTTGAGACAAGATCTCACTAAGTTGCTAAGGGTCTTGATAAGTTGCCCAGGCTGGCCTCAAACTTGCCATCCTTCTGCCTCAGCCTCCGGAGTACCTGGGATTATGGGTGTCCACTACTGTAACCACAGTGACTTGGGTCCTTTGATTTTAAATAGATGGACTAATGCCCACCTCTAATTCTTTTATCAAGGCTTCTCTATTCTGTTTTTTAAAAAAAGTCAAGCTGTACTTCATTGCCTAGTACTCTCTCTGCACCTCTGCCCCTATGGTACTGGGGACTGAACTCAGGGCCTTGTGTAGGCCAAGCAACACCCCAGTCCGCAGCAACTTTTTACATATGGGTGTTTTGTTTCCTGATTTGCTCTTAGCTTCATAAAAGACAAGTTCTGCTTGTCTAGTCATAGAATTCCTGGGTCACACTTTCTATCAAGTGTTGTGTCATTTTAAAACCCGTTGTTTCCCCACTGATCTTTAGATTGACTGCATATTGTGGTCAAGGATTACTCTTTCAATCCCCATGCCATTTCTTTTGTCCTTTTCTGTTGGAACAGATCCACCTTTATATCCATATGGAGGGATGACTTGACTGTGGATATCAGGCTCCAGCATCTCCCTTTCCCTTGGGATCTTGTAGGCATTATCCCTTTGCCCCCTACCTCTGTGTACTGCTTTCGGGAAGTCTGAGCACAGTTCATTTTTATTCCTTCGGGGTATCATTTTGACCCTGAGATGTCCCCCTCTGATTACTGGCGTGTAATGCAGTTGCTCTTCAGTACTCATGGGATATTTGTTTCAGGATCTCTGAGTATATAAAAATCCATGGATTCTAAAGTTTCTTATATGAAATGACCTACTATTTGCATATATCAGGTGCACATTATCCTACATATTTTAAATCATTTCCAGATTGCTTACAATGCCTAAAACAGTGTAAATGCTCTGAAAAAAAGTTGTTATGATGTATTGTTTAGGGAATAATGACAAGAAAAATGTACTTGCTCAGTACAGACACTACCATTATAGGTCTAACTATATAGAACATGATCCACAGTTGAATCTCGGGTACGGAATCCATGGATGTGGAGAGCTCACTGTACATTCTTGAGAATGTGTCATAGTGTTAATCATTATATACCAGTTTGTCCCTGCTACACTTTGAATCTTAAATGTCCTCCTAAAGCTCCTATACTAAAGACTCGGGTTATCAGCTATTGGCGCACTGGGAGGCGATGGAAAATTTAGGAGGTGGACCCTACTGGAATTTAGGTCTTTGAGGGAATGTCTTTGAAGGCAATATTGGGACCCTGGCCTCTCCTTTTGCTTCCTGGCTGCCTTGTAATAAGCAGCTTCTTCAACCACATTCTCCTGCTATGATATACTGCTGCATTCTCCTGTGGTGACATAGTGCTTCATGACAAGATCAAAGGCAACAGGTCCGAGTAACCTTGGACTGAATCCTGGAGCCAAAGTGAATCTTTCCTCCCTTTCAGTTGTTTATCTCAGGTGATTTGTTACAGTGATAGAAAGCTCACCAACATAGTGCCCATTGTGCTTCAGGTTTAGTTCTCTTTTACATTGTAGGAATTTTCTTCTTTACTGTCTTTTCTTATTCTTACAGAGGTTGTTTGTTCACTTGTTCGTTCCTTCCTTTCTTTCTTTTTAGGAGCACACATTATTGTCTTTTTTCCTGTATCATCTGCTCAATTGCTTGTATAGTTTTTATTTGCTATGATGAACTTAAGGCTCTATTTTTTTGTTGATATTTTGGATTTGATTGTTTTCGTCTTTTTGTCATTCCTACTTATTATTTCTGTAATGATGTTGTTTTGATTACTATTTTTGTTTCTATAGAATCATCCATTACTTATTCATTTCTACATTGGATTATTATTTTATTAAATTCTTGTTCTTCTTAAATTCTGTGAGTTCAAGAGGCACTCATAGGAAATTAGTCTTCTGTTACTTAGATTGTGTATTTTTTTCAATTGTGTTCTTTGTCTCTCCTTCTCCATTTCTTCCTCCTTTCTTCCCTTGATCTCTCTCTTCCTTTGTATTTTTTCCTGTGCTTTAGTGTTGGCCTGGCTGCCATGTCATTTCTTTTTTCTCTTTTTTTCCCCACATTTTTTATTGGTTCACTATACTTGTATATAAGATGGGATTTGTGGTTCTATTTCTTTTTATCTTAATGAAGGTTGGTATGCATGATTTACACTAATATAATAGAGTATAATCAATATTATATGCTACAGATGAATTATCTCTTGCTTTCTACCTCAACTAAGCCACATTTGTCGTTGTCTCTGAAAGACAGAATATTATTTTTTGTGCATTTTTACTTTTATATGATCAGGGTTTGGGCTGAATGACTGGAGTGGTGGAGGAGAGTTCTGCTGTGGATAGACAAAGCCTTTCTTGCAGCCCTTCACTGTCCCATAGCAGGATAACCTCTGCCTATGGGTGTTCTATTTCCAAGTAGGGAGGAAGCTGGGGGTTTTAGGAATTCTCTATTAATCCCTGGTGGTTTTCTCGCCTCTCCTGAGATCTTGATGTCTTGTAGTGGCAAATACATGCTTCTTCTCTTGAGGATTTCTTCCCTAACTTTTCCTGGGCTGCCTAGACCCCTTACAACATACTTCTCTCCAAATTAGAGGTGTGAGGAGTTAAGAACTGTCTGTATTCACTTTCTTTCTGTCATATCCTTTTAAAAAGTGGGGATTAAGTTATAAGTCTATAATTGTTTTTGCTGTACAAAAAACATCTTCAAAATCTCAGTGGTTTACAACCACACATATTAATTTTCATGCTTAGGAGTTTGTAGGTAAGTTATGGTTTAGACTGGGCTCGGCTGGGCCAGGCTGGACTCCAGGCTTTTCAGTCTGGTTTAGGGATGCTCCATATTTTCATCCTGTGGTCCATGATGGAAGGGAGCTGCTACATGGTGGGATCACAACAGCATAAAAGCCCAAGTTGAGACACACAAGCACATTTAAGAACCCATGTTTAGGGCTGTAGCTGTAGCTCAGTGGCAGAGGCCTTGCCTAGCATGTATGAGGCACTGGGTTCAATCCTTAGCACCACATAAAAATAAACAAATAAAATAATGGCATTCTGTCCATCTTACAAAAAACAAACACCCCCCCCCCCCATGTTTGCTTCATGTCTGTGACCACATTCTTTTGGCTCAAGCAAGTCACATGGTCAAGCCTAATCCCTGGGAGGTAGCAGCAACAACATGTGGCAAAGAACAAGGATGTAAAATAGGTGTTGTTTTTTTTTGTTTCGGTTTTTTTTTTTTTTTTTGTGCTAGGGATTAACTCAGAGCCTTGTGCATGCTAGGCAAGTACTCTAAGCACTGAACTACATCCCTAACCCAAGGATGTAAACTTTCATTAGTGGGAGGCTATAAAGAATTGGGATACTTTTTCTAATGGACCTCAGAAACTCCATACGTCTTTTGAAATTCTTCCATGTCTTTCATTTGCTGCCACTTTTGAAATTTAGGGCAGGAACTTGTGCCGCTTTCCCTTGGTTTAAATTTGGATAAAATTTTCTTTTGATTTATAAACATGTCTTTATTTTATTTTATTATGATTAGGGGATAGGCCAGTGCAGTGGTGCATGCATATAATCCCAGTGACTTGGGAGGTTGAGGCAGAAAGATTGCAAATTCAAGGCCAGCCTGTCAGTTTAGCAGGATTTTGCCTCAAAATAAAAAATAAAAAGGGTTAGGGATGTAGCCATGTTGTAGAGAACCCCTGGCTTCAATCTCTAGTACCAAAAAAAGAAAAAAAAAACAATTTAGGAAATGATCATTACACATCACACATCTATATGCAGAAGTCCCTTTCAACTCTGGGTTTTAAGTACAGGAATTTCCTAATTACAAACCAAACCATCTGTTCCTCTGATTGGAATTGTGGCTCAGTGCTGCTCCCTGGGGATGCCAGGCCCATAATACATCATTTTGGGTTTGACTTCTCCTATTTCCTCTGGGTATCTTCTCTGTTTGAGTATGGTATTTAAATGTTCAAAAACGAGTACCACGCATCTTCAGGGTGTAAATAAAGTGGATGGTATTATAAAGGGGATAAAGTGATATATTTACTTTCACAATTTTTACTTACTAACAAGTCACTAGAAAGGTGATTCAGGGTTCTGGGTGGATATGGGTATATGAGTGGATTTGCTGGCTGATGAGTTCTACTGGTGATCAGCCCCTCCCTGGACTTTTTCCACTGGGGGAACCTCAGGATCTGGAGCTGGAATTATTGAAATATCTGGTATGAAGGGGCTGAAAGTGTACAGTGTACACATTCTTAAATTATAATATGCTATAAAACATATAGTATATTCATTGAGGGTCTAGTGTCCTAGGTGTTGGACACTATAGTTCAAAAACTGCAGAAAACTCTCAAAACTCCCACCACAGGTTGGAGATGGTAGTACCTGGATGTAAATGAATGGAAGAAGGTTCTAGTACCTCAAATTGTGGACTTGGCCAACTTTGCTATTTTGATAATACTCTGGGCTTTGGATCCTCAGGCTGTCTGTCTATCAGGCCGGCAAAATCTTTTGTTGCATTTGGCTTGTCCACTCTGAGCTTGTTCTTGGTCTTGGTTTTCATCCTTCACAACTGGTTCTATTACTCCATTTACTTCTCATATTCTAAAAATGTGTTGATATCTCTAATCTTATTTGTTCTGCATTAGTTTTTACAAATTACCTTAGCAAGTTCTTAAATTTCTTAAACCCAGGGGGATTTCAGAAGAGAGCAGAGATAAATGCATTTATTCAGGCCACCATGTTTAGCTTTTATGTCTTACCTCCCTGTGCTTCTCTTTCATAGGTCACCTTTGCTCTCTTCTCTGTTTAATTGGTTCATAATCATCCCTCATAGTCCAGTTGAAATCTTCCTGTCCCCTACCCTCTATCTTACTCATACTTGTAGAAGCCTTGATTTAGCACCAATTATGTGCTTGCTAATGTGCTTGGTACTGAGGTTACACAGATGAAAAGATTTTGTTCTTGATTCCAGTTTACTGTCTAGTGGAGAGACTGTCCAGTGAGTAGCATTGGTTAGACATTCAGGTAGTGAAATTACTTTAGATAAATACCTGGGAGCACACAAGTGCTGCTTTGAACTGAATGTCTGTGTCTCCTCAGTATTCACATGTTGAAACCCTAACTTTCAATGTGATGATATTAGGAGTTGGGGAGTTTGGGGGAGGTGATTTGGTCATAAGTGTGAAACCCTCATGAATGGGACTTATAAAAATTAATCTAGTTAGCTTATGTGCATGTTTATCATAATGATTCCATTTTTATATGTCATTATAATGTACCAATTAAAAAAATAGAAGGAGACTAATAGAGTTGAGGAAGGGGGTCAGGAGGAGGGAGCAAGGAAGAAAAAGCAGAAGTACTGGGAAATGAAATGGAGTAAATTATGTTGTGTGCATATATGAATGTGCCACAATGAGCCCTGCTATTATGTATAATTATAAGGCACTAATAAAAACATGAAGAAAAGATCCAATAGAGCTCATGTCTCCTACCAGGTGAGGGCAAAATGAGAAGGTCCCTTTTATGAACTGGAAGAGGGCCCTCTTCAGACTGTGACCACTCTGGAAACTTGACCTTGGACTTCCCAGCCCCCAAAACTGTGAGTAGTAATTTTCTATAGTTTAAGCCATCCTATCTATGGCAGTTAAGGACAGCAGATTGAACTGCCTAAGACAAGTGCCTGGAAGAATGGAAAAGCCTTCCTGAGGGAGGCAGCCTTTGGGTAACCCTAAGAAGGTGTTTGAGGCAGAGGGACCAGCAGGAGTTAACAACAGGGCGTGAGAGAAAGCATGGACCCAGGTTCATTGAACTAGCTCAGTGTCACAGAATTCCAAAGTCATTTCCTTCCTTTGCACCCCCACTGTCATTTTAAAATTTATTGCTTTACCATTTTTTTATGTGCGAAATCCAAATGTGGCCAAGCCTCTAGTCTCAGTTTTTAATATCCAAACACAGTCCTTCAACTATAATTTCTAAGATTTACAGATCCCTGAGGAAAAAGGGCCCTGTCTGTCTTACTTGCCCCCACATTGACCCAGTTCTTTTCTTTTCCTGTGCCCAGGCACTCTGCAGAGGATTGCTGTGTGTGACGGACTTTTATTGCAGGCTTGCGGGAAGAAACTCAGGAAGAAACAGGGAAGACGGCTCAGTCTATAAGCCAAGGCAAAGTCCTTTCTTTTTCCTGCAGGTTTCTGTCTGCAGTCATGTAGCTGGGGCTCATTCTCCCATCTGTATAAATTTCCCCTTTTCTTTTCTCACTTGAGTTTCCTAAACTTCCTTCCTTTTGAGTTTCTAGGGGAAATCACCCAAATTCAGTTTCAATTTTCCTCATTGAAATTGATTGCTTCCGTGTGGGTTCTTACAGGATTGTCTTCCGTAATCAAGCAATTCTTGCCTACCATCTTTCAGCTGTGGACTTGTCAGTCTTCTCTACTGGATATAAACTCCCTCAGGTTGAGCGGTTGACTTATTTATATTTATGTAACAAAGCATACATAATGTTTCACTCATAGTAATTATTCAAATAAATCACTCTACACGTATTGCTGAGAGCTCAGGGCTTTGCAAAGATAGGATTGCTTTTTAATGCATGGTGTTTTCTTCAGGTTCAGGCAAGTCAGTTTGATTCTTTAGTTGCTCCTGATACAAATTCTTCTAGTCAGTGACAAATGATGGAGGTAAATGCTGTATGACACTCACAAATTTATCTGTGCTTCCATTTCCTGAAGTGTCAGGATGGGGGTTAAGGATCTCTTCTGCCTATCCTATCAGGGGTGGATCTGTAATGGACAAAGAACTTGTCAAGGGCTCTTGCAAAAGCCAAAGATCTGAGGTGGATGGGTTGAAATTTGGGGTGTATGTGAGGCAGTGGTAAAGGGGTACTCATTGGCATGGATGTGCTTTTCCCCAGGGGACTAAAATATTATGGGAACTTCACATCTCCCCTGTTTCTCTGTGATAGTTTGTTCTTACCAATGACTAGAGGGATTTCTTAGACTTTCCTCTGATATTCATTGGTTGAGAGCATCAGGATTTAATTTGGCCAGTTTTACGAGGAATCTTTTAGTCAACTGGGGTTGACCGGGGTTGACTGGTGGTTCTTCCTATGAAGGACTTTAATGACAATTTCTGGTTGTCAGTCTTGACAAGTTGCATGGTGGATTGAGAAGTCTCATTAATAACACTTGTTATTGTTGGGTTTTCTGATCAATAACGAATAATAATCCAAATGACATGGTAATCATTATTATTTGTAGGCATTCTTGTTTTAGAAAAAACAGTTTTATTTTTTTTTTATTTAACAGACTTAAGTATTTTGACTAAAATGTCTTTTTTAGAAATATGACCAGAGCTCTTTGATGAAATGCTTGGATCTCAATCAGTAGGAAGGATATACTTTAACTTCTGAGAAGGGGTTTCCTTTTCTAAAATCTATAATTTGCCTCTGCCCCACTTCATCTTGCAGAGCCACATGTGATGTAGATTTCTGAGCGCTAGTTGGAGACATGCTTAGTCAATAGTCATTCTCATGGGAAATCTCCCCATGTGTGGCCTGATGCTAAGGTTAACATCTGGCAGGAGATTTTTAGAAATACTTGTAACTTCCATTGTGTGGGGGGCAGAGCTCCAGACTCCAGTGAGTTTAGGCTGTTGGTAGGGCAGCCCTGGGCTGTGCCAGCTTCTCTCACTGTTCTTTGGACTGAGAAGGTGGTTTGGATTTCCCAAATGTGCTCAATTCCAGGGGGAGAAAACAGCTTCCAGATGAGCTAGTATCCTTTCTAAACCGAGTGACACAAGTCTTCTCAAAGTTGCTTTACAATCAAGTAATGAGGCAATTTGTTCTAATAGTAAGTCAGTTTGACATAGAAGAATGTTAAATTATAGCAATGTCTACATGACTTAAAACTCCCCTTCCATAATATATTGGTATGCGATGTTTACTATGGGCTGTGAGATTTCTCTTCTAAGATGGGTGACCTGAGTCCCTTATTTGGGGAGAATTAGCAGCAATAGGAATAGAGATGGTAGGAAGGTGGTGTGTCAGTCAGGCCTGGAGTATAATTGCGGGGGCTGGCAACTTCAAAATCTGAAATCCTCAGGCAGGCTGGTAGACTGGAAGCTCAGGCAGGAGTTGTTACTGTGTGTATAATTGTCCTCTCTCATTCTTTGTTTTGCTTCTTACAGTTTCAGTTACCCACAGTCAAACATGGTCAGAAAATATTGACTGGAAAGTTTCAGAAATAAACAACTCATAAGTTTTAGATCTCATGTCATTCTGAAATGTGAAATCTCTCTGTCCTGCTCCATCCTGCCCAGGATGTGGATCATCCCTTTGTCCAGATTTATGCAGATTGACTATTGTGGTACTGTGGTGCTTGTGTTCAGGTAACTCTTAGTTTACTTAATAATGGCCCCCAAACCCAAGAGTACTGTTGGTATCAATTCAAATATGCCAAAAAGAAGCTGTAAAGTGACTCCTTTAAATGAAATTTTAAAAAACTTTGTTAGCCTTCTGTTACTATAATAATCTGAGTTAATCAACTGGGAAAGAGACAAGGGTTTTTGGCTCATAGTTTTGATTTTGGGTTTGTGGCAAGGCAGCTCATCATGACAAGGAGCACTTGGTGGAGCAAGGCTGCTCACATCATGGCTGGGAAGTGAAAAAGAGAAGAGGAAGGGCTGGGGTCCCACTGTCCCTTCAAGAGCATACCCCCGATGACCAGAAGACCTCCTGCTAGGCCTCACCTCTTATAGATTTCTACCACCTCCCAAGAGCCCCAAGCTGAGAACCACACCTTTAACATATGGGCCTTTGGGGACATTCCAGATCTGAACTATGGCAAATATAGTAAGATATTTTGAAAGGGAGAAACCACACTCACAGCCTTCTATTACAGTATATCATTATATTTTCTTCTATTTTATCATAATTTATTATTTTTAATCTGCCTAATTTATAAATTAAGCTTTATCATATGTGCATATGCATAGGAAAAAGTGTAGTATACATAAGATTTAGTACTATCCATGGTTTTGAGTATCTACTGGGGGTCTTGTGTTGTATCTTCTACAGATAAAGGGAGACTTCTGCAGTCTTAAGACTGAATTTCTTCTTCTAGGAAAACTTAGCATTTGCTCTTAAGTTCTTCAACCAATTGGATGAGGCCTACCCACATCATGGAGGATAATCTTTACTTAGTCAACTGACTGCAGATGTTAACCACTTCTACATAATAACCTAATTACAGCAACACTTAGATTAGTGTTTAATTGAATAATGGGTACTAGTGTCTAGCCAAGTAGACATGTAGGTAAAGCTGGAGTTTTTCCAGGGGGCAGCAGGAAAAAGAAGAAAAGGAAATCTGGACGTTTTAGGCAGACTCTTCTGGTATGGTGGAGAATCAGCAGGGAATTGAAGATGTGGACATCAGAGCCATCATTCTGGGACTGGGGAGGAATGAAGAACAAGCTAGTTGGCTGCAATGCATGAATCAATTCGCATTATCTAATGAGTTTCTATTAAAAAACAAATTTTGGTATTTCTAAGATCAAGAGAGCCTTTTGGGGAAAGAGGGTGACTACTGCTCTGGGTTGTAAAATCTGAATGTTAGAAATGTTTTTGGCTGAACAACTAACAAGAAGAAAAGCTTCCTCTGACTATAGTTTATTGAAGGAACACAGTGAATTCACTGACTTCTTTTTGAAACTTGAAAGAAGGAGACTTTAATAAAAATTAATGAAGCCAAGAGAAGGGGAATGGAGATTCATTGCCCAGAGGTCATTATTACTCATATAAGATATGTAAAAGTGTTGTTATTGACTAAGGTATACTGGTTAGCTTATTGTTGTATATTAGTAGCTGTAAGAGAATTTATTAAAAGTTTATTTAGAACCTTATTCCCTCAATTCTATTGTTCTCAAAATGTCTTCCTGTCTTATAGCTGAAAGTTCTAACAGATATTTCGAGAACCCAACCATCTGTATCTGGGAGGGATTCTGCTGTTAGTTCCTCTATGTATAAGCAGAAGCATTAAATCCATCATTGTGCATATGATAAAGTGTATCTAATGGGACATTGGAAAAGATTTATGGTTCAATTATTAATGTGTTAGTATTATCGATACATTTAACAAAACTCATTTCCCTTCAATAAAAGACAACCATTAGCCCTTTCTAAACTGAGCATGTCAACCTTGGTAGTTTAAGTAGACTTATTTAGTTGTCGCTTAATGCTGAGACTTATAGTATTCTCCTGTTTAGCATCCCATCTCCCCAACTGCTTCCATCTGGTTTTCTTCTCTAATAAAAGAAGAAGAATAGAATGTTGTCTTCCTTCATTTTCTTCTGTGATACTTCCTGATAATGGCCTTTAAGGGAGAAAACATCATATATTTGGCTGTAGGTCGTTGCCAAGTCTTTAGTTTTTATAGTTGTAATGGACATCAAATACAGGTGTGGCAAAATAAAATGTACAAGCTGCCTTGTAAAACTGTCTCAATTTCTGCTTATTATTTCTAAAGCATGTGTACTTTTTGTAAAATTTTATTCTGGTTAAAAATTTAAAAGGGAGCTACTTGTAATGACTTCAGCATTAACTTGAGATGTAGTAGGTCTATAAAACAATCATTCAGATGCTATTAAAAGTATATGAATAATAAAACGACTATGATGAAAAAGTTTTAAAAGTAACATGGCCTTGGTAGCTCCCCCTTTATAGAGATCCTTCTCAGGGGGTGGGTTTGTTATATTCTGGCTGTCATGGGCAATTAAATGTTCTTTGGGAATCAGGGAACCTGGACCCGCATTTCTCTTCTCTTATTAGGAGTGAATGCTGTGGAGCATTTTTCTGGGTTGTAAATGGCAACAGAGCATAATACAATAATATTCCTAAGAAATCAGCTTAGATTACTTTGTTTACATGAGATGTTTATGAGGGTGCAAGTTTTCTGAGTTATTAGTAGAAGTCAAAGGCACTAATAGTCTAGAGCCATGATATGGGATGTAATGGAACCACTCTGGATTTTGGAGCAAAATAATCCCAGATTTGAATCTAGGTCCTGCTGTTTAGGAGCTTTGCAACCTGGGCAAATTACTTAAGTTATCCATTAGTTCCTCCTTTTATAAGATGGGATTAATACTAATGCCTATTGCAGGGAGCTACTGGGAGAATTACTGAAGATAACACATACAGGGTGAAGAGTATATGCTTGCTAATGTATTTGGTGCTTACTAATATTAGTTCCCTTCCTCCTCCTTCTTCATATCATTAATGCTCTAATATAGTGTCTGTGATACTTAATTGGTATCACTATTTAGTGGATGTCTTTTCATAGCTGTGAAACAAAACTGATGTTTGAGATCACAAAAACATTAATGGCTTTCTGTGGTGTTATGAAGTTCAGGAAAGCCGCATTGATCAAGAATCATGAGATCCTTAGACAAATTCTACCAAAGCAGTTTCTTCTGCTGTGTGTGTGTGTGTGTGTGTGTGTGTGTGTGTGTGTGTAAGTGACTGTCCCTTGATATCTGTAGGGACTGGTTCCAAGAACTCCTGTGATTACCAAAATCTTCAGATACTTAAGTCCTTTATATAAAACGCAGTTGCATATAACCTATGTGTACCCTCTGGTATATCTTTTCCTCCCCCACCCTCTTTCTCTCAGTACTGGGGATTGAACCCAGGGGCACTCTACTGCTGAGCTACATTTTTTAAAAAAAATTTTTTTGAGACAGGGTTTTGCTAAGTTTCCCAGGTTGGCTTTGAATTTGGAATCCTCCTGCCTCATCCTCTGTTGTCTCTGGGATTACAGGTATGTACTATCAAGCCTACCTCTCCTCCAATATAGTTTAAATCATCTCTAGATTAGTTATAATAACAGGTGTAATGTACATACTATGTAAATAGTTGTTATGGCATATTGTTAAGAAAATAATGACAAGGAAAAACAAAAAGATTTGTATGTGTCCAGCAGAGATGTGGCATTCTTAGATACAACTACATAGTACATGCCAGCAACAATGTAACATTTTTGATTCATATTTGGTTGAATCCATAGATATGTGGATATGGAGGACTTATGGTGTATATATATATATATATATATATATATATATATATATATATATATATATATATATATATAACCTATACACACATACATACATACAAATATATACACACATACATACATACAAATATATACACACATACATACACATATGCTCACATACTCATACATATATAAAGATTATGTTTAGAAAAGTACACAAATTCTAAGTATATAGCACAAATAAATAATCACAATGTGAGTTCTGTGTAATTACCACTCAGAGAAAGATATAGATATCTACCACTGCCCCACAAAGAGCCCCACAATTTCAAATTCTGACTTTTCATACTATTAACTGGTTTCCTCCATTTTAAACCTCATAAAAATTGAAGTATACCATTTTTGGTGACTGGCTTCTTTTGCTCAACATTGTTTAATGAGATTCATTCATGCTGTTTCCTATGTAGAACTTGTTCCATGCACTTGCGTTGTATTCCATTGTGAATATGTGTATACATCCATTATTGGTGGATATTTGGGAATTTTCCAGCTTTGCCTCCTAAAATTAGTACAGCTATGAATATTTTGGTATGGACTTTTGGTGAACACATATATATATTTCTGTAGGGTATACACCTTGTAGTAGAATTGCTGACATATAGGGGAGGCATGGGTTCAATTTTAGTTTATATTGATAGTTTGTGCTCATTTTTAGTAGAGCTTTCTAAATAGTTTTCCAAGGTGGCTGTACCTTATAATCATCACACTTGGATTCCTAGAAAGAGTGTGTGTGTGTTCCAGTTCTTCTCTCTTGTGTCACACTTGGTATAGTCAATCTTTTTCAATTTTAGGTATTCTGATGGGCAGAGTGTGTTATCTCATTGTGATTTTATTTGAATTTTCTTGATGGCTAAGGAGGTTGAACACCTTTTATTTTGTTTACTGACCATTTAGATTTTCTCTTTCTCTTTCCTTCTTCCCTCACTCCTTCCCTTCCACAGTCTTTGGATGCTCATGTATTTTAGGTTTTGTGTGACTGCTCTGTAGGCCTATATACTAGTTGAATTGGGCTGTTTGTTAAAATTGGAAAATAACTGACTCAGAGAGGACAACCCACCCCTTGTGGAAAGAGCTGGCTTGGGAGTTGGCATCTGTGTTCTGCTCTCAGGTCTGTCTGTCCTTGTGAGGCTCTTTTGTGATTACATATTTTTGGTAGGACATTCACCATGTCCTCACTACCTATTGAACATTCTGCTTCAAGTGATCTGGAATAGTGATTACAAAGAATGGGGCTCAGAGCCACTTTGGTGTGTGGATAGTCTGTCCTCTAACCTTACTGTTTGTTATGGTTTGGATGTGAAGTGTCCCCCCACAAAACTCCTGTGTTTATGCAGGAATGTTCAGAGGTGAAGTGACTGAATTAGCTGTAACCTAATCAGTCCGTCCTAGTTTGAATGGACTGACTGGGTGGTAATTGTAGGTAGGTAGAGTGTGGCTGGAGGAGTTGGGTCATTGGGGTGTGCCCTGGAAGAGTACATTTTCCCTGTGGTTATTCCTCTTCCACCCCCTTCTCCCTTCTATCTCTCTCTCTCCACCCCTACCCCGTCTCTCCCTCTTCCTCCTGGTTGCCATAAGGTGAACATGGAAGAACTACACCAATATTGTGCTGAGTTGAGGAAGGCAGACACAACAGACTGATTCTATTTTTATCAAGTCCAAGGATAGGCAAAATGAATTAGAGGTAATAGAAGTCAGAAAGTGATGGCCTCAGGAAGGAGTGATTTCCTGTGCAGTTTCAAGAGGAAACTTGGTGGGATGTTGGAAATGTCCTAAACCTTGCATTGAACTGTTATGGAGTGTGTATGTATACAGGAAAGGCATAGATTACTTTATGCGCTTTACTACAGGTATGTGTTTGTTAGTTTTCTGTTATTGTCATAATATACCTGAGACAAACAACTTAAAGATAGGAAAGGATTATTTTGGCTCATAGTGTTGGAGGGTTTAGTCCCTGGCTGGTTGACTCCATTGCTTTTGGGCCTGTGAAAGCACAACATATCATGGCAGGAACACTTGCAGAGGAAACCTCTACTTCACAGTGGCTGGGAAGCAAAGAGAGAGAGAGAGTGGAAGAGACCAAGGTTCAGCAATCCCCTTCAATGACCTAAGACCTAAGACCCTCCTCTGGGTCCCACCTCTTAAAGGTTTCACTGTCTTCTTTTTTTTTTTTTTTTTTTTTTAATTTTTTATTGTGGGTTGTTCAAAACATTACAAATTTCTTGACATATCATATTCCACACTTTGATTCTAGTGGGTTATGAACTCCCACCTTCACCCCATACACAGATTGCAGATTCACATCAGTTACACATCCATTGATTTACAAATTGCCATACTAGTGTCTGTTGTGCTCCGCTGCCTTTCCCATCATCCATCCTCCCCCCTCCCCACCTCTCCCCTCCCCTCCCCTCCTCTCTCTCTACCCCCTCCACTGTATAACCCTGAGGGTCTCCTTCCATTACCGTGCAATTTACCTTCTCTCTCCCTTTCCCTCCCACCTCTCATCCCTGTTAAATGTTAATCTTCTTCTCCTGTTCTTCGTCCCTACTCTGTTCTTAGTTACTTTCCTTATATCAAAGAAGACATTTGGCATTTGTTTTTTAGGGATTGGCTAGCTTCACTTAGCATAATCTGCTCTAATGCCATCCATTTCCCTGTAAATTCTATGATTTTGTCATTTTTTAATGCAGAGTAATACTCCATTGTGTATAAATGCCACATTTTTTTTATCCATTCGTCTATTGAAGGGCATCTAGGTTGGTTCCACAGTCTTGCTATTGTGAACTGTGCTGCTATGAACATCGATGTAGCAGTGTCCCTGTAGCATGCTCTTTTTAGGTCTTTAGGGAATAGACCAAGAAGGGGGATAGCTGGGTCAAATGGTGGCTCCATTCCCAGCTTTCCAAGAAATCTCCATACTGCTTTCCAAATTGGCTGCACCAATCTGCAGTCCCACCAGCAATGTACAAGTGTACCCTTTTCCCCACATCCTCGCCAGCACTTGTTGTTGTTTGACTTCCTAATGGCTGCCAATCTTACTGGAGTGAGATGGTTCACTGTCTTCTAATAGCGACACAGGATGGTAACCAAGCCTTTTATACAGGGCTTCTGGGAGACACTACCTAACCATAGTATGTGTATGTCCTCCTTCCCCGGGGAAAATAAAATGACCATATAGCTTCTTGCTCATTCACATGTGTATGTGTGTGTGTGTGTGTGTGTGTATATATATATATATATATATATATATATATATATATATATATATATATAGAGAGAGAGAGAGAGAGAGAGAGAGAGAGAGAGAGAGACCGCCAGATTTCTATTGGAAAAGAGCTTTAAAACTGATGATATCAAAAGTGCATCACTTTTTACATTTCTAAAGTTCACAGGTTGTAGCAGTGGTACACTTTAATTACACCACTTCTCTTAAATCCATAGTTGAAAACATATTCAAAGATAGATTTTCAACCACAAAGGAAGAGTCAGTGTCTCTGGTAGTACTATTTGTTCATTCCATAAAGTGACTAAGAGGGTGAGTGAAAACTGGAATCCAGCCCCTAGGCCACTTACCAAGCTCAGCCTCTGGAGACAGAGCCTGCCTATACTGCCACTTTTACTAATTTGCACAAATACACTTGATCTAATTTGCACATATCGATAATATCCCGGTGAAAAGTTGATATTTACAGTGGAACATTAAGTTTCAAGGCTAAGAATGTGTTTGGTGATCTTTGGAACAGAAGCCAGTCTCTTCCTGGGTCTTTGCAGTCTAAGGAATGTTTTATAGAATAGAACAGGAAGAATCAATACCAATTCCCTCTCCTTACTTTTCACATGTGCATTGCACAACCCTTGGTTGGCCTACTAATGGCTTAATGGGGAAGAGCCATTTGGAGTTTGGGAAAGAACGAGTTTTGCTGACCTAAGAGACCTATACTTTTAGCTGGGGCTCCTAGGAAAAGATTGAGTTCATCTGACTTTTAAAGAGGTCAGGGCAGCTGTCACTCTTAGGAGAGCACATGAGTGGAAAGTGGGAAGAAGCATCTAATTGTATCTATCCTAGCTGAAATGCCAATGTCCAGGAAGGAAAGCAATAGCAAGGCCTAAAAGCAGATTGAAATCTAAAAAGACATTTTTGTAGATAAAAATTTTAGGTTGCATTATCCACCAGAAAAATAGATTATCAAGACTTATCTCTTTCCCAGCTCTGTAAAATTAAAGCTTAAGCGTAATGAAATATTCATACACAATGGACTGATGCTCCATTTGTACTCGCCTTTTCTAATATGGTATGAGATACACGAGAATTATAGGCAGGTGTGACATTTTCTCAATCACAATATAAGACTGATCTAAACAACATGTTTTAGTAAGTCCACTTAATGATTGATCATATCATTATGGCTTTAGTTTAAGAGAAAAGAACCTGGTACCTATTTTGTCTTTCAGATATATTTGAGTAAAATTTGCATTTAAACATGCATATAATTTTCTACATTAATCATTTGTTTTGCTCATAAGACTCTTGTTGGAGGAAGTTGCTTTGTAGCATTTTTTTTTGGCTTGAGCAAATAAAAGGTTTATTAGATTGAAACAAAAATACCCAGAGTGGATCTTGTTAGGTATGTCTTTATCCAGTGTTGTATAGTAAAGGATTTGACTGTCCTTTGTCTCTGGCTCCTGGAAGGTAATCTCTAAATTCTTTTTTTTTAATTTAATTGATTTTATTTTTTAAATACATGATGGCAGAATGCATTACATTTCTTATTACACATATAGAGCACAATTTTTCATATCTCTGTATACAAAGTATGTTCATACCAATTCGTGTCTTCATACATGTACTTTGGATAGTGATGTCTATCACATTCCTCCATCATTGCTAACCCCCTGCCCCCTCTCTTCCCCTCCTACCCCTCCTACCCCTCTGCCCTATCTAGAGTTCGTCTATTCCTCCCATGCTCCCCCTCCTTACCCAACTATGAGTCAGTCACCTTATACCAGAGAAAACATTCGGCATTGTCTTTTTGGGATTGGCTAACTTCACTTAGCATTATCTTCTCCAACTCCATCCATTAACCTGCGAATGCCATGATTTTATTGTCTTTTAATGCTGAGTAATATTCTATTGTGTATATATGCCACATTTTTTTTATCCATTCATCTACTGAAGGGCATCTAGGTTGGTTGCCCAGTTTAGCTATTGTGAATTGTGCTGCTATAAACATTGATGTGGCTAGCTTTGTAGCATTTTTAACTCAGCCCTCTTAGAGAAATGGAGAAATTCATCTCTACCATAAATTCCAGATATTAGGACCACTTTGTTCTTTAGGAGAACAATCTGAGCCCAGTTTTGCTAGCCAATCCTATTAGGATCCTATTAGTTTTTTTCTCCTTGAGCATATCCCTCGAATTGTTGATGAACTCCTGATTTGGTCAAGTTTCCTTCAGTTAAAAGTAACAGGGATCCACTTCAAAGTGGCAGAAGCAGACAAAGTAATCTAAGGAGAAGATCCTAGCCATGAAATCTAGATTCCAGTTTCAGATTTCTGGGGGAGACCAGTCTGACCCAGGTTAAGCCAGGTGGCCAGCCCTGACCCTATTAGCTTTGACTGGGTGGCAGAACCACACAGTACTACTATAGTTACAGGGTCCACTCACAGGAGGGTTAATTGTACGCAGAGCAGAGATTGGCAGGTGTGGGGAAGATACTTCCAGAGGTGTTCACTGTAAAGCTCAGGAGCTCATCGTGTTAGTAATTCGCCTTCCCTTCACTCATAGCAACTATCAAGCTAAGGAGTGTCTCTATTGGCTTGTTGCTTTTAGAAGAGATATTGGAGGAAGTTCTTGATGATACTGGGACTTCCAGATTTCTTCTTTTTTTCTCCATTGCAGAAAGCTTCAGGCTCAAGTTCACCCATGGTGATGTTTTGCATAGAAAATCACAGTACTGGAGGAGATGGCCAGGCCCAGGATGAAACCCTTTTTGATTTTGGAAAACATTTGTTTTACATTGCCCATGTGCCCATATTTCTCTGAAAATAAATTTCTTCTTTCTTTAAATTTTAAAATTTGAAAGGAATAGTGTGATTTTTTTCACTTATGTCTGAGTTTACTCTTCTTTGTGAGCCTGGAATTTTAAAAAGTGACATAAATTGAATGGGGAGACCAGGGTTCTTGGGAACAAACTGGTTGTGTTCAGCCTGGCTGGCTCAGTGATCTTGGTGATTGAAAACATACATCATTTTTCATTTATTAGTAAGCTTGATCCTGACAATGACATTCAGAGACTTTCAAAAATATTCATAATTGTGGTTTATTCTGTTGAGCTCCTGGGGCAAGATTGGGGCTTTCTAAATCCTTGATTTCTACTTTCTGGTCTTAAAATGGAGTTGAGATTTTCACAGCACTTCCACTTGTTTTGCTCAGGGGAGGACCCCCACTTCATGTTCCTAAGACTCTGGGCACTGACACATGTCAGCCCACTTATTCCTGTGGTTGTTGAGGTAAGCATAGTCCTAGAACCAAAACTGAGTAAGAAATCCTTGATCATAAAAGACCTTGTGGGAATTGAATATATAACTTAGTTTGTTCAGTTGACCATAAAAATACCATAAACTGAGTAGTTTTAAAAATTGACAGCAACTTATTTCTCACAGTTCTAGAGGCTGGAAATCCTACAATTAATGCAATGGCTGGTTGGGTGTCTGGTGAGGCCTGGTTTCTGGCTAACAGACAGGGCCTCCTTGCTGTGTTCTCACTGGTAGAAATGGGGAGGGTCTCTTTCTGGAGTTTTTTCCCCCTAGAGTCATTTATCCCATATATTTTTTTGGTGCATTTGATTATACATAATAGTGGGATTTGTTGTTACATATTTGTGCATGCACATAACATAATTTGGTCAATTTCATTCCCCAGTATCTTCTCTTTTCGTCTACTCCTCCTTCCCCTGGTTCCCTTCCTCTACTGGTCTCCCTTCTATTTTCATGAAGAACTCCCACACCTTTTTTTTTCTATTTTTTTGTCTAGCTTCCACATAAGAGAGTAAACATACGCTCTTTGACTTTGAGTTTGTTTAATTTTGCTTAACATAATGCTCTCAAGTTCCATCCCTTTTTCTGAAAATGACATAATTTGTTCTTTTTTAGGCTGAATAAAACTTTGTTGTGTTTATATACTACATTCTCTTTAACCACTCATGCTTTGATGGACATTGAGGCTGGTTCATAATTTGGCTATTGTGAATTGTGCTGCTATAAACATGGTTTTATATATATACTGTCTTTAATTATTTAGAATAAATACCAAGGAGTGTATACTTGGGTCAAATAGTGATTTCATTCCTAGTCTTTTGAGGAACATCCATACTGATTTCCACAGTGGTTGTAGTAATTTACAATCCCACCAACAATGATGCCATCTCTTTTCTTTTGCATCTCAACCCATAAAACCACCAGCAGATGTTCCTAACATCTTCATCCTCATCTCCTGATTGTGTTGGGCGATAGCCCTGGAAACTGTCCTTTGTGGTTTTCTTCTAAGAGCCACTTTTGTTGCCAATCCTCGTGCACAACTGAAAGGGAACACTCTGCTGTCCATGGTGCTGGTGAGGGACATCTAAGACCCAGCTTTCCCCCGTGGGTTTCCCCAGCACCTTTGAATTTAGGATAGGAGAAGGTAAATTGTGTAGGCTCAGCTCACCGTAACTCAACTGAGTAGACAAGTGAAAACAAAAACCACCACACGACACAACACAACAAAACACCAACAAAACATCTCCTCTAAACCTACAACAAGTCTTTCAGGAGCCTCTTAAAACCATGATGAAGCCCTAATTGGATGATTTTGTCTCTGATCACACTTGGTTCAAAGATCACAAAGCCAACTCTAGCAGAGCACCTGAAGTTCCAGGGCACGGGGGGCATCACCTACAATAGTGGAGCAGAGCTACAGAGAAGAGTGACAGTAGAATGGACTTCTGAGTTCTGAGCTAATGCTGTAATGAATCTGGCAAAACTCCAAGTCTCTGTATTTAGGGAGGAACAAATGCCATCAGCAAAGATGTCATGGGAAACTGAGGTAGTTTGGAAATATTCCTGGGTCATCTCATACTTTTATTTGAATCTTGTAGAGTGGAGGGTAATGTAAGTGCTTATGTTTAGACCTGTGATCTCTCAATCCCCAGGAACCAGACCATCAGTATAAGAAAATCCCATCTTGGTCACTGATGTTGACTGTTTAGTCCAGAGAAAGTTCCTGGCCTCACTGGCTTTGGCTCCCTTATCTTTAAATGGAGATAATAACTTTGAAAAAATGAAGATAATATATGAAAATTGCTGAGCACAGAACTTGGAACACAGTAGACACTCAAACCTAGAAGTGATTTTTTTTCACATCATCAAACAAAACTCAGTACCTCTGTCTTACTCAGTGTACTCTGAGTGTGGTCCATGGACTATACCAGTTGACAAATTACTTTTTACCAGTCCCCAATGATACAACATTGAAATGGAGAGGGAGTGCTTGAAACTTTGATTGTCTGACAATAATTTTTTGTTAGTCTTGTATTTTGTTTATATTTTTAAATGATTTTTGAAACATTCTTTGGGGGTGATTTGTTTAGGCAGTATTACGGAAGTCTGAGTCAGTTTCAGTTATAGTTTGGAAATGTAAGAAACTCATCTTTCCCCACAGATGGTTTGAGAAGCAGTAGTCTAGATCATTAATTCCCTATGAGCTAAATTATTGAAACCCCAGACCCCCAAATGCCTCCTGTATCATTTAGGGAACTGAAGGGGGCATCTCATGTGCACTCACAAGCCATCCTCTTGGCCACAATGCTCATCCCTCCAATGAGCTGTTCTACTTTTTCTGACCAGGTGTGCCTGCCATTGTGCCCTGGTCTCCTCTGCTTCTGTTCACTGCAGCATCTCTTCTGTCCTGCCCTGCCTGACACTAGGGAAAAGCTCTTCTCAGTCTTGGGACTCTAACTTGTTCTCTAAGAATAACTTTTCCTTATCTTCCATGATGTAGCTTTCAGGGGTTAAGATTTCAGTCAATTCATTACAGTCATCTCCAGCATGGCAAACTTGACACATTGAATAAACCGTAAACCAGAAGGAATTTGAATTTCAGCATGTTATATAAAATGTAAAACTATCTTTCTTACTCTCTTCCCAGCTTGACCATCATGACTTTCCTCCCTCAGGGTGTATTTTTCCTGACCATTTACATTACTACATTTTAGATTGATTAATTGTCATCTCTCCACAGCTTCTGGGAAGAAAGGTCTTACTCCTGGATTGTAGCTATCAGTCTTGGCATGACAGGAAACCACCAATTTTATAATCCCAGCCAATTATTCCATACCTAAACCTGCCTCTGAACCACAGAAAATTATAGGATCAGCCAACTAGCTGACTGAGAGACTCTGAGAAATAATGAGTGATGTTATTTTAAGCCACTGAATTTGAGGGGAATGGTTTCAGACAAGTTTTGGAGCAGTATATTATACAGCTATAGTTAACTGATGTATGGGTATTTTTAGTTAAGTGACGTTAAGTTAAAATGATCATCCATTAAGAACACCCAAAAGACTGAGCTACAGAAAGGATGAGTAACAAGTTCAGGGTTCAAAAAAGTCTTTGCATGGTGATAGATAAAGGTTTAATTTCATTTTGTTGCATATGGATTTCCAGTTTTCCCAGCACCATTTGTTAAAGAGGTTATCTTTTCTCCAATGTACGTTTTTGGTGCCTTTGTCTAATATAAGATAATGGTAATTATGTGGGTTAGTCTCTGTGTCCTCTATTCTATACCATTGGTCTACAAGTCTGTTTTGGTGCCAATACCATGCTGTTTTTGTTACTATTGCTCTGTAGTATAGTTTAAGATCTGGTATAGTGATGCCATCTGCTTCACTCTTCCTGCTTAGGATTGCTTTAGCTATTCTGGGACTCTTATTTTTCCAGATGAATTTCATGACGTTTTTCTATTTTTATGAGGAATGCCGTTGGGATTTTGATTGGAATTACATTAAATCTGTGTAGTGCTTTTGGTAGTATGGTCATTTTGATAATATTAATTCTGCCTATCCAAGAACAAGGGAGATCTTTCCATCTTCTAAGGTCTTATTTAATTTCTTTCTTCATCATTCTGTAGTTTTTACTGTAGAGGCCTTTTACCTTTTTTGTTGATTCCCAAGTATTTTATTATTTTTGATGTTATTATAAATGGGGTAGTTTTCCTAGTTACCATTTCAGAGGATTTGTCACTGATATCAGAAATGCCTTTGATTTATGGCATTTGATTTTTGTATCCTGCTACTTTGCTGAATTCATTTACTAGTTCTAGAAGTTTTCTGGTGGATTTTTTGGGGGGTCTTCTAGGTATAGAATCATATTGTCAGCAAATAGTGCTAATTTGAATTCTTCTTTACCTATCCATATCCTTTTAATTTCTTTTGTCTGTCTAACTGCTCTGGCCAGTGTTTCAAGAACTATGTTAAATAGAAGTGGTGAAAGAGGGCATCCCTGTCTTATTTCAGTTTTTAGAAGGAATGCTTTCAATTTTTCTCCATTTAGAATGATGTTGGCCTGGGGCTTAGCATAGATAGCTTTTATGATGTTGAGATATGTTATCCCTAGTTTTTTTCTAGTGTTTTGAATATGAAGGGATGCTGTATTTTGTTGAATGCTTTTTCTGCATCTATTGAGATGATCATATGGTTCTTATCTTTAAGTCTATTGATGTGATGAATTACATTTATTGATTTCCGTATGTTGAACCAACCTTGCATCCCTGGAATGAACCCCACTTGATCATGGTGTACAATCTTTTTGATATGTTTTTGTATTTGATTTGCCAGAATTTTACAGAGAATTTTTGCATCTATGTTCATTAGAGATTGGTCTGAAGTTTTCTTTCTTTGAAGTGTCTGTCTGGTTTTGGAATCAGGGTGATATTGGCCTCATAGAATGAGTTTGGAAATTCTCCCTCTTTTTCTATTTCCTGAAATAAA